ACTTTCCTAATGTGACTTTAAAGTCACGTCATAAAATTCCAAAGTTTCAAATTGATAGCAAAATGTTCAAATTTCAAAAATGAACTCTTACGATATTTTTCATGAACAAAAATCCAAAAATTAAAACAGGAAAATTATATCAGACATAAATTAAAACAGGAAAATTATATCGGACATAAATCCAACCGGTTCCGGAATCCGAATCCGAAAAATCCGGATTTTATAAAGATCACAGTAATCGCTTATCAAAAAATTTTATATGACTATTACGACTATTTTTCTGACATTAGTATCGCTGAGTATTAACAGTTGATGTTCTAGCGTCAGATTGTACGTTAACTGTACGATTATAGACTACATTACAGTATTTTACCGTCATGTTATAAATCCCCTTTCTCTAAGGATAGGGTTTTGTTACTAAGTCAAATTCCTTTACAATTTGAATAGACGATCAAACGCCCTTTCTCTAGATTAGGCAATTGCTCTAGGGCTACTTCTATAGTAATTAATCTATATAATACCTTGTAAAAATATGAAGAAGAAAAGATGACGACATGATGACTTGGCAGGGTAAAACTTAAAGACACTATCGTTTTCTAGGTATTTTCTATAGTAAAATAATACTAGTTACATACTAAAAGCTACAAAGGACTCTACTTTTAGTCCTTTACTACATTACGATTGTGACAAATTGCGACTCAGTTACAGTTGATCAATGACAGTGATGTCGACTTATAAAGGAATAATAAATGAATTTTAGGTTTAGGCTGCAAATTGAAAAACGATAAATCGTAGTTGAAGTAGACATGTTTATAAACATGTTTCAAATTGTTTTATGCAAAACTGTTGATTTTGGAGCCAAGAAGAATATGGTCTATTTTACTATATAGGAGTTCTATCGATTGTAACAAATGACCTAAGATTGCATTGATTTTGTTGTATTCCTTTAGGGATATGTAAGAACGATAGAAAATGAACTGTAGTAGCAAGTTACTCGAATGATTGTTGTCTACATAAATATTATTTTATCTAGACGAACAATTTTTTAAAATGAATTGTTTCTATTGACGTGATTTTTGAGTACACTAACTTATAGCAATCCTATAAAATATATGCTATCCTACTGCTGAACTTATGGGTACTAGGATAAGCTATATAAGAAAAATACCAGTTAATTACTGTGATATAATTCATTTTGACTACTTTATCGACTACATCGGTGACATTGATGGGAAAGAGCCTAACTATTAGAATCAACTTGATTTCTTAGTTGTGCTTACAATTGGATGCCTTATTGTATTTCGAACGTTACTTCGAGATAGAGCTGGTCAATGATAATCTTGCCAAGTTGTTGTACGCTAACTTTAACATTCCATTTTCTTATTTTATTATTAAGAATCTATTAGCATAGTCTTTGAACTCAATTCTATCTATTTCGTTCAAATCGTTGTACCGGATGAGAATCGACTATTCGATTGCTGGTAAGAATTTACATCAACTCTTTACAATATTAGGGTTATTAATACGTTTGTTAATCAATGCTAAACTGAAAATTGTAAAAGAACTGCCAAATATGATTTGATGGTGTATTTTAATTATGACTAGCTAGTAATCGATATTGAACGATTATGTAACCATACATGAAGACAGTATTAATCACTTGCAATAGAGATAAAATCATCCTCATTCTATTCAATCTTACTGTAGTCTTGCAGTGACGAGATGTTGGCCCTGTCATTTTAAAGTAGTTGACGATAATATTCGTCCTGCATGTGTTGTCTTCGACGACTTGAGGATGATTATCTCCATAAAGATAACGTAAATTATTGATTGGTTTTTGATAGCATTGGATAGATTGAATGTAGTTAGCCTGTTTACGATAGGTTGCTGCTTGATTTCGGTAGGATAGGGTAGAACTCGAATGGTTGTTACAAGTGTTACTAGTTTAATCTTGAGTTATTTATTATACATAGATAGGACGTCATCATACTTGCTGTAGTGCTTGGGTTTTACAACCCCTTAGATTTGCAATCGTCTCACTCGAAATCTGAATTATTAAAATTGAGCAAATCTCTAACGTGACACAAGATTAGGTAAACACCGTGTTTAACCTTAAAGAATCATTTATTATTAGAACGCTTGACAAGAGAAGAATCTACTTTTCTTCCCTCATAATAACAGTCGAAAGTGGCCAAGATAAACCGGATAATCAAGTTACTCTCCACGATAATAATTGTATACCGTATTATCTAACAGTTATATTAAGGCATTACACATAAGCATAACCTTACATAGCTGACTACTGCGGCCTTATACACATTAGTACGAATAGTATAAGTACACCGTTTCATCATCAGCAATCATGGAATTACCTTATAAGCATAGTAGACTATTCTACTTCTTAATACTACCGTATTTTAATTTTTACTGTAATTAGCTGAAACTACTACACTGCCTTGATTAGCATAGACAAGCGCAATGTTGTTATATGACCGGCCCGACTCAGATGATTGTCACCAAGTGTTGCTAGTGTATAATCTTGAGTGATTTGTTATGCATTATAGAGTGCCATCAAACTTGCCTTGATTATAATAAACACTTACAATATTGTTATATGAGTCGGCAACACGCGGATGCTTGTCTCCAAAAGTTTCTAGTCTAATCTTGAGTGATTTGTTATACATTGATAGAGCATCATCATACGGTACTTGCCTTGATTCTTATAGATACCACCGACGTTGTCATATGAGTCGGCAACACTCGGATGATTGTCATCAAGTGTTGCTAGTGTTACCTTGAGTGATTTGTTATATATTGATAGAGCGATATCATACGTACTTGCTTTAATTCTTATAATTATAAACAGTAGCATCGATATATGACTTGGCAAGACTCGGATGCTTGTAACCAAGTGTTGCTAATGTAGTATTGCATGATCTGTTATACATTGATAGCGTAGCATCATTCTTGCTCTGATTATTATAGACACCAGCAATTTTGTTATTGGACTAGAAAACAACAGGATGATTGTCACCACATATTGCTAGTCTAATGTTGAGTGAGTTGTTGTTATATATCGGTATAGCGAGATTATACCTGCTTTGTTTCTTATTATGAACAAGCGCAATGTTGTTATTAGAGTTGGCAACATCAGGATGATTGTCTCCAAGTGTTGCTCGTCTAATCTGGAGTGATTTGCTATGCATGGATAAAGCATCATCATACTTGCCCAGATGATCAAAGACAATCCCAATATTGTTATATGAGTTGGCAACATGAGGATGATTGTCGCCAAGAGCTTTTACTTGAATCTCGAGTGTTTTGTTATACATTGATAAAGCGTCGTCATACTTGCCTTGATGAGCATAGACAAGTCCAATGTTATTATATGAGTTAGCAACGCTCGGATGATTGTCACCAAGTGTTTCTAGTCTAATCTTGAGTGATTTGTTATACATTGATAGAGCATCATCATACTTGCATTGATTCTTATAAATACCACCAATGTTGTTATATGAATCGGCAACACTTGAATGATTGTCACCAAGAGTTTCTAGTCTAATCTTGAGTGATTTGCGATACATTGGTAGAGCGTCATTATACTTGCCTTGATTATCATAGACACTTGCAATGTTGCTATATGACATAGCAACACTCGAATGATTGTCACCAAGAGTTTCTAGTCTAATCTTGAGCGATTTATTAAGCATTAATAAAGCGTCATCATACTTGCCTTGATTCTTATAAACAAGCGCAATGTTGTTATATGAATTGGCTACACTTGGATGATTGTCGCCGAGTGTTGCTAGTCTAATCTTGAGTGATTTGTTATACATTGATAGAGCGCTATAATATTTGCCTTGATTCTTATAGACACTACCAATGTTGTTATATGACGTAGCAACATGAGGATGATTGTCACCAAAAGTTTCTAGTGTAATCTTGAGCGATTTGTTATACCTTGATAGAGCGTCATTATACTTGCCTTGATGATCATAGACAGTTGCAATGTTGTTATATGAGTTAGCAACATGAGGATGATTGTCGCCAAGTTTTTCTAGCGCAATCTTTAGTGATGTATGATACGTTGATAGAGCGCTATCATACTTGCCTTGATGATGATAGACACTTGCAATGTTGTTATATGACTCCGCAAGGCTCGGATGATTGTCGCCATGAGTTTCTAGTCTAATCTTGAGTGATTTGTTATACATTGATAGAGCCTCATCATACGCGCCTTGACGATGATAGACACTTGCAATATTGTTATATGAGTCGGCAACGCTCGGATGATTATCACCAAGTATTTTCAGTCTAATCTTGAGCGATTTGTTAAACATTGGTAGAGCGTCATCATGCTTGCCTTGATTGCAATAGACACCACCAATGTTGTTATACGAGTCGGCAACACTCGGATGATTGTCACCAAGTGTTTTTAGTTTAATGTCAAGTGATTTGTTATACTTTGTTAGAGCATCATTATACTTACCTTGATTCCAGTAGATAGTTGCAATATTATTATATGATTCAGTAACACTCGGATGATTACAGCCAAGTGTTGCTAGTCTAATGCTGAGTGATTTGTTATACATCGATAGAGCGTCGTCATACTTGCCTTGACTATCATAAACACCACCGATGTTGTTATATGATGAAGCAAGACGCGGATGATTTTCACCTAGCGTTGCTAGTCTAATCTCGAGGGATTTGTTAAACATTGGTAGAGCGTCATTATACTTGCCTTGATTCCTATAGACAAGTGCAATGTTGTTATATGACTCGGCAACACTCAGATGATTATCGCCGAGTGTTCGTAGTCTAATCTTGAGCGATTTGTTTAACATTCGTAGAGCGTCAACGTACTTGCCTCGATGATCATGGACAAGCGCAATGTTGTTATAGGAGTCGACAACACTCGGATGATTCTTAACAAGTCTTACTACTCTAATCTTGTGCGATTTTATATACATCGATAGAGCGTCCTTGTACTTGCCTTGATTATCGTAGACACTACCAATGTTGTTATATAATGTAGCAATACGTATATCATTTTCGCCTTTAATTTTCGAGTTAATCTCCACTGATTTATTATACATGGTCAAAGCCTTACCATACTTGCCTTGATTAGTGTATACAGCGCCAATGTTATTATAGGAGTCACTAACATCGATATTTTCACTTCCTAACGATTTCAATTTCAAATCAAGAGAATCTTTAAAATCTGCCAAGGCGCTACTCCAGTTACCTTCAAGTCGTTTAATCTCACCCCGCCTATCCAAGCACATTGCAATCTTCACTTCGTCTTGTAGTTGTTTAGCTAATTTCTCTGCTTTACTAACCCATGCATAGGCTTTTATCCATTGATATTTTTCTCTATAACAATCAGCCAAATCGAGGTGAACATTATATTCAAGTTGATGAGCATTATTTTTGCCTTTGGGTATCGACTTTATTTGAGTAATAACTCTTCTGTAATAATAAATCGCTCCCTCGTAACGTTGACGATTTTGAAACTTCCGACCCTTTCTGTGTAGAGATTCTATTTTATTGCGAATAGCCATAGTAGTAGACTGATTATTCTTATTCTCAGTTTTGAATAAGAACTAACAGATAGGATAGAAGAAAATAGATTTGTACTTTATGCTCTTCTCGATGTATTCGCTAAATTTAGATAACTATACGGATGGCTTTTGTGATAGATCTACAGAAACCTACAGAATATCTATCTTTAACGTTCAATCGATATTTCAAAGTCTACTTCAGTTAAGAATATCGTTAAATCCATAAGATTAGATACGCCCTAATCAGCTGACAATCATTAGTTATTTTCCTACATCACTATAATATCCGTGTCCATGGCGATCAAATATGACCAATGCACTTTTGTAAAATGACGGATTTTTGAATAAACGCGGTAACAGTATCATCAACCCATTAATTAGCATAACACTAGCAGAAGTCAATGTAACGTCAAGCATAAATCAATACAAGAAATGTACATAATGCAAACGTAATTTGAATAATATGACGATATTATATGCTTGTGTTCATAATAATTAACTAGCTACGTAAAGAATAGATAGACATCAATAAGCGCAGATCTTGAATTAAATTGCCCGTAATTACCAGTAGTTCGTAATTATGTACCATTATGAATTTCATTACAATTTCTATATTAATTAATTACATATTCGAATATTGATTGTACTATAAGCTAATTCAATTATTTATCAAAACTAGTATACTTATTACCGCGTACTGCATAAGTGAAAATCATGATGATAACAAATTATAACTTGTTTTTACTTGCAGATTTTATTAGATGTGATGCAATATCTGATAGTCGGCTGAGTGGCTTATTACTGTGTCTTGAGTTATGAGCCGAAATGAGAAGATGTAGTATGAGAATATAGCCTCACATATTATCCTTTACTAATAACAACAGATTTCATAACTACACTATGAATATATGATTTTATATACGCATACAAGAAGGCGGCCTTAAGTAGCAGTAAGCAATTTGAAAGATTGCTAAACTATCTCTTAGCAAATTTTGAATTAGTTGTTGTTGGGGTTTTTCTCTATTTTATTTGATGTCTAAGTTACATCGAGTCGATTGGGATGCACGAAGTAGAATTAAAGTTTTGTAAAAGCTTAGCTTAGCATTTTAATTTTTTACATCATTTTATTACGAGAAAGAACTATTATATCAACTAAAGTTACTTGGTTATATACTTTTCTTGATATCTGCAAGTATAATCAGTAATTACAGTTACCAACTACTTTCTACCTTCTTTTATAAGGATATAGATTATAATTAGTAACATACTCGTATTTAAGCCAATTATGAAAACTATTTATTGCGATGTACATTCATCACTTCCTGACAAAATAAATATTTCGTAGATGCTATAATTGAAATGTATAACTGAGTACTTTCAGTTTATATATAATACTGCTAATACTTAGACTAGATCTAATCCTAATCCATTTATCTTTACTTGCAATTGTTACAATGTTCACAATTAATAGTAACTTAGCGGAATTATTATCAGTGAAATATTGTCAGCTTGATGCTATTGGCATATATGTACGAATGCAGTACGATGGCATCAGACAAATCGATAATACTTGGCTAACAATAATTAACATTTCTTAAACGGCACTCTTGATACTCAGCCAGTGAAAATATATACTCCACAACTCGCGAAAGGATCACGGAATCTAAGAATGTATGAACGAGACTAGCTGACCTACGCCTCGGTGTAAACTGTACTACTGCAGAAATGCCAAAATTATAATTCTGATTTTACGATACGGATTCTGTTTTTACAAAAGCTTCTCCATTGTAAGCAGCTAACTGTTGAGAAAAATTATGTAAATTTTACAAATTTTATTGCATGAATATTTTGAGTATTTCTAAACACATGAGTACCTTGTCGTAAGCGGCTTATCCAGCTATTCCTAATATAGACTGTGATTAAGCTTTAATGACACAACTCATAGATCTAATAAATTAATTTATCTTTTGGACAATGACGAATAGAATTCTGTTCGTTGAGCAAAGTAAAATCAGCGAGCTCGAGCTTTTTGCTGTTATGGTCTTGAAATTCAAAGATTTAGAGTTATTCTGTTATAATATTTATATTTTCTTGAAAATTTTCAATGTGAAGAGGAATAGTTAATAATATTGTGTAAACAAAATATGAGAATTTTACTAGCATACAACCTGTAATGTAATCCGTTACCATTAAAAGAATAAAGCAAATTTATTAACTAATTTCGGTAATCAATTAAGAAATCTGGCAAATAGATACAATACTGCAGAGTATCTGTGAAGGGGATTATCCACAGTTTAACATTTGAAACTAATAAATATAGATCGTACATTAGATTAAATATAGCGGTCGCCTGCTATTTTCCCTCTGCAGTTTTAACGACAATTCCATAACGCAACTCACTTCTATATTAAATGACTACTTGAAAGCCTCAAAATAAACTATGTGCAGTAATACATGAATTATTTAATATCTGCAAAAAGATACAGACAGTGTGAAAACTGTGATGGGGGGTTCGAAGAGTCAGATAATGTGGTTTTAGTTGCCATGCAGAGAATTGCACAAGGAGCTTAAGAAAAGAGGATACTTTATTGTAGATAGTAGTTAGGTACAGTGTGATAATTAGGGTAGGTCAGCGTGGTAGCTGCCGTGAGTAAAGTGTGAATACTAACTGTGACTAATAATGCAACTTAACAAATCTAAGGTAGAAAACGGCAAGTATTTATTGCTATGGCATTAGAACACATGCAGAGAACATGATTGTAGGATTAGATACAATATATACCATAAAAGGTTATAGAATAGCAGATGATTGTATAAAATAGCGAGGACTGTAATAACTAAATGTAGTAAGCCATATTGAATGA